ACTGCAGATCAAAAACTGCTACTGCAAAACTAAATCAAAGCTGAAAAAAAGTACCACAACAAATTATTTCCCCCGGTCAAGAGAACCTCTGGGCAGCTCCTCTCCATTAAGCAGTAGAACAGTGCAAGGAGAAGAGACACAAAAGATAAGACTTGAGGCAACAACATTAGAAAGAGATAATTAATGCCTGCCATTCTAGCAAAAAAAAAACCCCTCTGTCCCAAAAGTTTTCAATCTTTCTTTCCTTTCCTCTCGTGGACTTTGCAGTTTTGCCCATATGGATAAAATTTATCGAAAACCTTAAACAAAGAGCATTACATAAGTTGCTCATCAGTTTCTAATTTAAACGCTGGAGTGACACAGGTAGAAATTAGGAATAAAAAAATAGCAGGAGGGAAAAATTGCTGGCATAAACTGCAGGATCTCACCTGCTGAAGGATCATTTCAAGGGTACCCCTGTCCTTTTGCATGACTCCATCTCTCAGCAAGCGATCAAGTAACTCTGGCTTCTTGTAATTCTTCAGAGCCAACAAGTGAATTACCCTGTCCTTGAATGGTCGGCCAGAAACTCCACTGGAAATTCTCTGGAAGATGTTTGCAGGGTTCATGGGTGTTGTTCTTTTTCTCTCAGGCACGGCATCTGGAGTGTTTTGTGGCACTCTTCTGACCTCCGTTTTTCTTCCTAAAATAAGGGCAAAAAAGAGGGAAAAAAATGTGTCATATGGAAGGTTGGGAGAAGGCAAGGAAGTTGGTTTAAAAGTATTTACCAGGACTGATAAACCTGTATTTGTTCAGCATTTCCAGGTCTGTAAGAATTCAAATAGTAAAGATGCATCGAGTTGGGCATTAACAAACAAATAGTCATTAAAAAATGCTCGTAAATGAGTGATACTTGAGGCTTGACAGGGGCTGCCAATGTGCGTTGGCAGCCCAGAAAGACAACTCTGTCCAGGGCTGCACCTGCAGAGCTGGGGCCAGCAGGCTGAGAGAGAGGATATGACACACCAGGCACTTGTCTGAAACCACTAACTTGTGTTTGGTACCTGAAAGAGGCTAAATGAGTATTGGTGACAAAACAGGGAGCCTTCTCTCTTTGTATCAGGCACACAGAGACTGACCTGTTCCTATGAAGTGCTTCAATTTTGCAATGGAGGGCAAACCTTTAATACCTTTCCATGCTGGCTGCTCCCTGGACTCTGCCTTTCTGGTGTTCAACTGCAAACCTAATCACTCAAACACATACAGTTAAATTTTGTAGAACACTGTAAACTTGCCAGTTGTCTATTGAAGGCACTGCTAATGTTTTGAGAAGTTAAATTCAATGGTAATTGAATAATGCAGAAACTTCCCACAGCAGTCAAGCAAAGCACTTCCTAATGTCATGACCCTGAAGAAAAAATAATCTGAAACCATATAGAAGCATTTACATGGAAATTAGGAAAGGGTTCTTCACCCCGAGTGTAGTCAAGCACTTGGCAGGCTCCCCAGAAGAGTGATCATGGCACCAAGTCTGCCAGAGTTCAGGAAGCACTTGGACAGTGTTCTCAGGCACGTGGTGGGATTCTTGGAGCCAGGAGCTGGATTGATGATCTTTGTGGATCCCTTCCAATTCAGTATATTCTATGATTCTGTGACAAACCCCAGTCCCTAACTGGTACTGCATGGAGCATGTTGCCCTATGTCCTACCAACAACTAGACCTGTCCTACCTGAGTTTCCTCAATGCCAGCCCAAAACAAAAGTACCCCCCCAATACCACAATTGCCTTACTGCTGCAAGTCTTCAGACCCCAATTACTGAATGTTAAATATTCACTTGAGATCTAATTAAACCACCACCAAGAATCACACATATCATTATTCAGTGTCAAACAGAACTTCCCCAATGAGAAGTTCTAAAATACATGAAAGTGGCTCCTCTCACACTGCATTACGGAGCAGTTCAAACAACAGAGGGGGAGCAGTGCCAGCATCACCTCCTATAATCAACCCCAGACAAGCTCCCTTGGAGTCAAGGCCGCACATGCTTAATTTTCTCTTTCCAAAAAGCCATGACAGTGCTAGCTTAAAATGCTCTGCCATAAGTACAGACAGAGCAAGAGCTGCACTTTCATTGTCAGGGATGTCCCTGCTGGCAGGCGACTGCAGCCACAGCCAAGTGAGAGCCTGTTTTACTCTGTGAAGGTGGATGTACCTGGCTCAGCTCACTGCTGCAGGCAGGACCACTGCTGCTGGTACCACTGAGAGCCTGTAAGGTGGATGTCCACCTTGTGTCTTCCTGGAGACAGGCTTCTTGGGGAAACGGTGCTCAGAACAGTTCAGTAATGAATGATATTCACCTGAGATGTCTGAACACATCACTTGTCCCAAGAATACGCTGCAGAAATTAATTACTAGGTTTAAAACTTACGGACATCCAATAAAAAATGAAAAGCAACCATACCTGAAAATGGCCCATCAGGTCCATCAGTAACCTCTGCACCTTGATTTTGTGATGCCTTTTCTGCCTGGGTCGTGAGTTTGAATTGCAACGCTCCGTAACTATAAAAACATTGGAAAATGTTGAACCCTTCAGGCACTACTTCAGCATGAGAAGTATAGTTGTATCAGGAATGTTAAAACTGGTCTTAACAGGGGAAGAAAAACATTTCCCAGTTCTGACAGCAAGCCAGGACATAAACAGATTTCCAACTGCCTCTACACATTCAGACTTTGCCAGTTTTACCTGTCAGTGTGGTTACAATTTCCTCACACAACTGCAGGGCTGTGCTGTTTGTTCTCCTGAGAACGGCTGCAGTGACAGCCACAGGCAGCATTTGGGCAGCTGCCCCGGCACCCTCCTGGCAGGCAGATCCTGCCCTGGAGCCTTCCTGGGCCCTGCCCTCACTCCCACCACCCTTACCAAGCCTGCTGTGTGGCACCTGCCTTGGCAACGGCCCTGACCGAGGACAGGACACCAGCTTCAGCTCACTTGAAATGCTTCAATCGCTCTAAAGTGCCCAATTAAGGCTCCAAAAAAAAGCATCAACAACCTGAGTCTCAATTTATCGTGTCCTTTCTGAAAGTCACAAAGCTGCACAAGGCCACTGCCCAGTATTTCAACACGATACAGCTCCAGTTTTGTCCATAGCCAAGGACTATGGATCAATCCCTCGCTCCAAAACCAGCATATTTACAACAGAAAGAAAAGGCCATTTTTTAAATGGCTCTGTGTGTAACACTACTGCAAGTTCTGCCTTAACTTTGCAGGCACTTTGCACAAACTGAGCACAGGGCCCGTGAAAGCTGGTCTGAACTAGATTTCGAGGAAAATTAGCAAAACCTCATTAAAACTACCTAGGCTTCCTAGTCAGAATTATTTAGAGCTAAATTAGCTAAATCGATTTAATCTGACATAAAAAATACAGTTTCATTCAAGTCGCCCTTCCCAAAGAAGAAAGTGCCCTCAAAGGTGCTCAGGACAGGCAGGCCAGGAGTGGAGGCAGGACCTCTCCCTCCTGACTTAAACTCCTGCTGCTTGCTTTGTGCCAGCCTTGGAAGCCTGGGCCCTTTCAGATACCATTTTTGTGGCTGTTAAGATAAGACAATTCTCCATCAAGGCCAGCATGCTGCCAACTATAATCATATTCACATACAGTTGTAGAACGGATCTGGTCAAGCTTGGACCATCCTGAGCTCCAAAACCTTCGAAAAATACCACTAAGACGGGGGAAAGTACTCAGAAGGTAATTTTTTTTTAGGAACAAAACCAAAAAGAATTCTACAGAAAAGCAAGTGTTTGTAACTAGCAAGAAGCCACGTATTGGTGGGAATTCATTTCCTACTGCAGTCATCACCAGGAACATGCTTCTGTAAAGGTTTTCACCATATGCTCAAAGCCACAGAATCCACTGAAATGTGCCATGAAAGAAAACATGAAGGAAAACTTACCTTGAGCCTGTTTGCTGGACACAGTCAAAGCTTCCCTGAGGATTATCTTTGCCAGCACTTGACAAAGGGAAGTTAAATGCATGCACTTCATTAGGCTAAAAGATAAAAATAGTTTCTGTAAAAACCTCAGTCTACACTCCATTGCTGGCAATTAACTAGGCCCATAATTTTAAATGGATAACTGATTTTGAAGATTTTGCTACTATTTCAGTCACTAAAAAGAGCTGCTCTGGCTCCCTCTGAAAGCAGCTGGCCACAAAACCACTGAGATAGCAGCAGTCACTCAGCTTCTAATTCAGCAAAGCATTTAATTAGCAAGTCATCCCTTCCCACTTTCCAGAATTAATAGGCATATACTTCCTTTGAAATGCAAGTGCTTGAGTACAATCGAACTGGCTGGAGCTCAGCTTACAAACGAGAGGAGAGCAGTTGGGAAGTAAATCACAAAGTTAGGGCAGCATCCAGCTCTGGGATTTATTTGATCCCAAGAAAGCACATACTGGAGTCAGCTCCAACAAGGACTACAACTAGAAAAGATGAATGCCGATTTCAACAGGTGCAAAAACCCTTTTTGTTTTCCTCAGCTGTACATGCAATTATTTGCATAAATGTGAAATAGTCAGACCTAAAAAACTTGGTTTGTTTGGCTGCACCGATCAGTTAGTACAGAAGGTGCCGCTTTTTGATAGATCCTAAAAATCATTAAAATGTCTTGAAAAAAGTCTTGCAAAAAGGGAATGGGGGGTCTGAAAACAGATGTAGAATACCCTTCACAAGAGGCTGTGCCAGGGACCTCGTTTCAAGCAAAAACCCACCACAGGGAAGGTAGCTGTACAGAAAATATCTGCAGGTCCAACATCCCACCAAATAAGCCCACAGTACCAAACTTCTGCAACACAGGGGAGCACCAACGTGAACTACAGCAACAAGAAACAGCAGGTTGAACTGCAGGACAATGATGTGAGACTTGCACATGGGACCATGCTGCTCTTGATCTGCTTTCCAGATGTTTCCACCACATTATTTTCCCACTTCCACTGCTGGTCTATTATATCCTACTGTATCCCCTGTATCCTTACAAGCAGCCATTGCAGAAGTATTTTACAGTTTGGGAAATTGAGTAATTGATTGTTTAGCCTACAAAATGGACATTATTTTAACAGAAGCATGCAGGAAGTCTTACCACTAATGTCAAATGCATCTCTCTAGGCTGACAGAGATGCAGAAAGCCTGTTTTCTAGATCAGCACTGAAAAGACAGAGAAGGGACTGAGCAGATCATTCCTCATTGGTGGCAGCTGCAGGAAACTTGATTCTTTTGCCTCTGCTCTAAGCTTCCCCAAAGAAAAAAATTTCATCTATGGCTGCATACAACTCCAAGGCAAATTTCATCAAGCCCAAGAATCTTCCGTCACCGGCAGATTTTTCAACTGAGTTATGTAGGGACCCCCTGCTTTCAAGTGCCTGAATGTCCAGCACTGGTGTGACTTTAGGATACAAACATTAGGAGAGACTTTAACAACACTAGTGTTAGTTAAAGTGTTAGAGCACACACAACCAGGGTGTGCTCTTGAAAGTTAGTGAAGCGAACCTACGGGGCGGCTGCCAGCAAGAAGCCTGGCTCCACCAGTATGTTCCTGCTGCTTTCCCTGGGCCAGCCAACCAGGGCATTTGACTGTGCCAGTCCTGCTCAGATGCAAAGCCCCAGCCATGCAAGGAACTACAGAAGAAATTAAAAATAACAGCTAAAATAATAATAAAAAAGTTTTCCTCTAGATCAGCCTCTTGAACATCAGGAAGCACACAGCAAGGCATTCGCCAAAGGGTCCTCCTTCCCTGGAGTATCACTGGCTATAACACAGACCAAAACTACTTTGGTGCAGCTCCATTTAGTGCCAAAGGGCAGAGACAAGTGTCAGTAAGGATAGCAGTGCACAGGGCAGTAAGGACACCAAACCTATTAATCTACACACAGAGAAACTTAGGAAGATGCCAGCCTGGATGTGATAAAGGAAATCCTAGGAAGGAAGGCCTGAGTTGGTACAGGATCATCTTCAACTTCAAAAAAAAAGGAAAAAAAGGTCTTAGCACAGGCTACAGAAAACAAAGAGTGGAAGGAGAGATGTTCTGTAAAAATTAAGTCTTAAAGTTTTCATGTTTTGAAATTTGAAATTTTAGGATAAAATGATGAAGATTTCTTGCTTCAAGCTCTTTTGAAATAATAGAAGGCGTAGAGCCCTTCTAAATCTTCTCAAATGAGAATAAGCTCCTGCTGTTAACTGACAACAAAAAAGTCAAGACTTTAAACAGGTTCAGATGAACTCTGGCCAGCTCTGACCAAGCACCTGTGCAACCTGGGGCAAGGCAGGCAGGTGAGGGGATCAACAGGAGTGGGCTCTGTGGCTCAGGAACACCCTCTTCCTGCCTCCTGCCTTTCATCCCTGGGCAGGGGCAGTTTTCCCAGTAAAACCCACAGCTCAGATCCTCACACACGCACCAGCACTGCAGTCTGACGTGTGCTGTGCTTTGAGCTGGCCCCAGTGTCACCACCGGCCAGGCTGCAGCACTTCGGGATGAGTGTGGAATGCTCTTTACCCTCTGCTGCTTACTTTAAAATGTCTTTTTAAATTCTATGTCCTCAAATTGGCCTGCAATTTCTTCCAATACATTGAAAGCACCATGCTGTGGGGTAGGAGAGCCATTCAAAGACATGAATATGGACATACAACAGGAATTTAGCCTCCTTCAGTGTGTCCTGAATTACTTCAAGAATTACTTTTAAATTGTTTGATTGCAGGTTTGGTTTTTTCTAATATACAGTGTCTTCAGACAACCCAGACAGTACTCAGTAGGCAGGAAACATTTACAAAACCTTAACACACAGCTCCACAGCTGGGTTGCTGTACAAACCCTAGAGACACAGAGTTCATCTTACACCAAGAGCACTTCCCAAACACCAGAGTATTTTTTCAACTATTCACTATAAGCAGGCATTGCTACTATTCTACAAGCGGTAACAGAAAGTAATGCAACCTGGTGGTTTTGGGTGTCAGATCTGAAAATTCCAAGTTCTGATTTTAAACTTTCATTGCAAATTTTCAGTCGCACAATCAGCATTGCACTGGGTCAGCAATGGAGCTGAGCATTAAGGTATCACCACCTACAGACCATCAGTCCTGTCCTCCCCTTCTGGCACTGGACAGATGTCTGAGCTGGCAGACCACAACCATTTAAAATGGAGACAAAAGAAAGAAATGGTATCTTCTCCCTCCCTTATTCCTCCCCCGATGCTGATATTCTTGTCAACTATGAATAAAACAAATGACGGTCTGACATACCCAAGATGAGGAGGCAAAGCTCCTCGACGTGTGACTCCCATCCCCAGGGAGTGCTTTGATCTCAGAACTGTGTCCCACCACCACTACTCCATGTCCCACCACCACTGCTCCGTGTCCCACCTCCATCCCTTCATGTCCCACCTGCAAATACCTCTGCTGCAGGAAGGCATCCCTTCTCGAAAGAACAACTGTTTGTCCTGAGTCAATGCCTTTACATTAACTGGAAGAATGCCGGCACCACAACACATGGCCACAACGACAAAGGTCAAACACCCAAGTCACATTTAAACCTGCTGGAGCCAAGCCCTCTGCAGCCCAGCAGCAATCGCTGCCACTGCCAACCCATGGAGCCTCCTCCCCCGCCGTGACAGCACAGCTCACGTGACCATGGAACAAGGACAAATCCATGCATTTTGGCCGGGAGCTGAGCCAGAGCACGAGTTTACTGAGTGTCACAGTGCAGGGAACCTCTGACTTCCACTGGAGCCTCTGCACTGTCCCCCATGGCCACTTCCACCGGCATGCTGTGTTCCAAGGGGCCCTCGGAGCATGATGAGGCCCCAACCCTGCCCAGTGGGTCCTGTGGGCACTGGACACCAAAACCACAACCTAACTCCTGCCCTGTGCCAACCCACAGAGCCCAGTGCCCACCCCTCACCTGGCAGTCCTGGGAGCTCTTGGTCAGCTCAACGTGCATCCTAGTGGTGTTTGGGGCCCTATTCCACCAGGACATGGTGGATTGTGCTCTGTCCCACAGCTCCACTAACTCGGGCTCCCACTGCACTTCTGCTGCTCTTGCTCCCGACTGCTCCTATTGCAAAATGTGGAAGACATCCAATTTTTCTTACAGAATGATGCTCATTGATGTTTGATCTCTGTGTACTTTCAAGCCTAATCAACAAGAGGAGAGATTTAATCCATGAAAGAGAAAGCAGCCAACAAGCTCTAAGTGATGTCCAGGTGTTGGAAAGACAAATTACTCATCTGTAGAATTGCCTTGTTATGGGGTCAACATGTTCCAATGATCTCAGACCTAGAGGGAGGTTAACAAGGCTTGGGAAGAAGGATGTACCACTTATAGTGGACACCAGGAATGCAGAATTTATGAGCCACAGGACATTTGGCAGAACACCCAAGATAGGGAAGAAACTAGTAAAGACAACCCAGCAACTGTGCTGAATCAGCTCTGACTGGGTACAAGGTAATTCCGGTAGGAGCAGATCGTAACCACGGACTCACGGCTACTGGCCCAAAAAATCCACAGGCTCCAAGGATGAGAAAGACTGAGCATGCAGACTAATTAGCATGGGAAGCAAGAGAATCATTAACCAATAGATGATAGAATATAATTAGTATGACTACGAAGAAGTGACTTGTTCCTAACAAACATTAATGCGTTTGTTTGCTAAAACGTATCAACAGGCAAAGGATTGGCAGTCACGGTGCTGGCTTTGTGGATCTGCACCCCTTTCTGTGCAGAACTGCCAATAAATCAATTACCTCCACGCTGTGCGTGATCAGCCTTTTGCACACTGGGTGCAAGAACCTATTTTGGGACAATGCTCTTGCTCTGACAATGACGATCCGTCTCCAATGCCGCTCTTGCTGTGTTCCTGCACCAGGCGCCAAACGCTCTGAGCAGTCCCGCCTCATATCCTTGGAAATGGACAGTTCCACATTCCAAGGCAGAGCAAATGGCTATGAGGTCACTGAGGCACTTTGGGATGACCCATGCTGGGTCTATGATCTTCCAGAGCTCGTTTTCCATGACATGAAATCTTGTCTTTATTTTCAAGACTGTATCCATTTCTCCCCATGTCTGGTCTCTTGGCTGCCATGCTCAGATTATAATTTACTGTTTCAGTGTTTGACTCCACTAGTTTGGTTCTTTTCCTCTGCTAGTACTTGCTTGCTCTTCTATACTGCCTACTCCAAAACATCTTTATGGTACATACACACGCACACATACTTTATATGTATATAAAGCATGTATGTATATATATATATATACACACACATATGTAAAAAACACACAACTCTCTTTCTTCAAGCCATTTGTCAGTATCTGCTTGTTCAGTTTCACTTTTTTGTGATGGTCATTCCCTGGCCAAACCGAGCAAATAAAATATATAAGAAAACAGTTAATGGTAACAATCTCTTG